TCCTTGCCGAACGCCTCTTTCAATACGAAAGACGTATTCGACCGTTACTTGATGGAAATTCATTTTATATATCAATAAAACTGTAAAAACTTTCTTTTCAAAACTTCCACAAAATTTATTATAAAATCTTATCACTACAGCTGTTTCGGCAGAGTACCTTTCTCAAGTGATCTATTTTTGGTATGTATTTACACTTTACAGTCTTTATTAAAATAGGTTAAGGAGGAAAGAACTGTTTGTCTCAAGTTAGTCAATTATATTTATGTCTGTGTTTTTTAATTTGTTAATTTCCATAGATTCTAGTCATATATTTTGAATGTGAAGAATTTGAAATTCGTCATTAAACTTTCTAGAGCATAAATCATCTGTGTTTATATTATTAAAAGCCATTTTATGTTCTGCTATAAGTTTGTTAAAAGTTCTACCAGTTTGACCGATGTAAGTTTTTGGACAGTAGCCACATCTAAGTTTGTATACACCACTGTGTAAGTGATATTATTTTAGCTTTTATTGTTTTTAATATATAAGTTGTTGTCTGTTCTAAAAGCTGGTATTATTCCTTTCTTTTTTATGTGTTTCGCTATTTTTTTTAATATTTTGCCTGTATATGTAATTAAGAAAAAGGTCCTGGGTTTTTTCTCTGGTGGTGGAAATACTAATTTTAGGGCTTTCTTATGTAGTTTTTGATTTATAGTTTTATTGTTTGTTCGTTGTACTCATTGTTTACTGCTATTTGCTTAATGATAATATGCTATGATATACTGCTATTAGTTGCCAGTTGCTTACAAATTTAATTTTTAACTCTTTTGTTGATCCTCAAAGCTTGTTGATCGTAAAGATATTGGCTCCGAATTTGATGATTGGTAAAAAATATAAGACAAAACTCGAGTTTCCCAGCAAATGAATTGTTAAACTAGAATTACGCTGATTTTTGTAGGTAAATCGATTTCATAAGATGACTTTACGCAAAAGTTCTCCAAAAGTGACTTTGAGATTTGTCCAAGGTATACAATAGACTATATTTTCATTTTGTTTCGGTCTACCCTTAAATAGAAGAATTTCAAAAAAAATGAGTAGGGTGATTGTAGATGGCAATTGATTGGATCTACCTATATTTATTTAGACCTGCCTCTATCTCTTATAACTCGTCTTGACCTAAACTCCGTTAGTCTACGGCTTAATTTGTTTTCAGTTTGTTTTGACCCGTCATAGATCCAATGGATTTTTTTTTGTCACTTCTTTGATTTTAGATATTATGTTCTGATAAGAATTTCTTGTGGAAGATTGTACGATTTATGTTAAAAAAAATATACCTTTTGTTATGATTAATAAAGCAAATTTGTATTGGGTAATAGTAATCATAAAGTACTATACATATATACCAATATGTGTTTAATTTTAGCCTAACAGCGGTTAGTCCACACCTGAATTCAACTAAACCAAAATAAAAGAACCAAAAGAATTCAGATAATCAAGAGCGTCACTGAGAATAGGGGTGGAACTTTGTAACGGGTCTTCCCTTTTCATTCGTCTGCAACAATTCTTTAAGAGGGGTGCATATAAACATTGGTTCTTGCACTTTACTTCCCCCTTAAACGACAATTTACTTTTTGTGTATACACAGTGATTTTAAACTACCTCTGTTAGAATCGAACGAGAAAGGGAAAGTTTTCGGTCCCTATTTCAATATCCTCATTGGTCTATGTAGAAATATTTTTTATCTACAGTTGCAGCTGAGTTAGTTTATATATCTTCGATAAAATATTATTAAAAAACTAAATATCTAAATTGATATAAGGTTGAATGCTCGAATAAATGAACTTTGATCAAATGAAAAGGCAGATATCGAACACAGTTTAATAATTAAATCTTGCCCAAGTACTTTCACTTCCTAGAGCATCTTCAGAGGCATCTGAAATAAGCCAAGAAAATTTTTTTATAACTGAAGAAAATTAATTAACTTCGATTAAAAACTCGAAGTTGAAGGTTGATAAAAGTTTTTATGTGATATATCGTTTTAGAATTACTTCGTCAATTTTGGCCTATCCAACAAACTGTTGAGAATGCAATAAACATATATTTGTATATTACACTAGACTATACAAGGACAAACAGTTTAAAATTGTTTTAAAAATGGGAAGCTACATTATGGTTGGCATCAGAAGAGAGAATGGCTCCTGGTCTTAACGGAAATGTTAAGGTGACATGTGACATATGACAGCTTGGATCGGCAGTCACAATCATGGTGATATGATCTGCATATTTCAAAATTGTATGAAAATAAGCATTGACCGAAGGTCCAACTAACACTACTATAGGAAATCTATAGGAAATCAACTAAAAAAATATGATATTATATAGAATATTTTAAGTAGATTGCATAATCCAGATCTCACACTCACACTTGTCTTTAATAATTAGGGTGTTAGTTTGAGGCAACTGAAGTGGACGTAACGTATGAACGAAAGAAATAGACTAAACAATATATTAGACAATGGGTGGTTGACTACAATAAAAGGGTTTACCAAGCACTATCAATACTGTAGAAAAGAAGAAATCTTTCTCTGAAATTAAAATACTTTAATTAAAAATTAAAATTGAAAGCAGAGTGTATAAATGGAGTATAATCCCAGTAGTTCAGTTAAACCCAGAGTCAATGGAAGAATCTTAAAATTAAAATGTCAACGCATTACTCAAGACCAACTGACCAACAGTGGGAGATGTTGAAATATATGTGGATATTGTTTATCTAAATTACGCAGAAATATAAAGAGTGTAATCAACGCCAACTATAAATCAACTGAACCTGAGCGAGCTAGTTTTATAAATTATTGAAGAATTAAATAGTAATGTTAATCAAAGTATGAAATTAATAAATTCCTAATGGATATAAATTCCAGTGCAGAAAGTCTAAACAGCCGGACTGGATCCTCTACGAGGTGAAGCTGCAATAAATTTTTTAAAAATAGGTTTAAATTTAGTACAATTTAAATTAAATTGAGTATTAAGATAGTAAGAGTTTTCATTTGTTTCCCTTGTAATCTCCAAATCTTTCAATAAATCCAATCCCAAGTAGTTTTTCTTTCTACTAATATCATGTTAGATATGTGAACCAGTATTGATATTAATATTGTGTTTACTGGATAATAGGTGTTAACCAAAACTTGAAGAGTTTGGTCTTTTCAAATGTTCTGAAATTCTAGTAGATAACTTTGTAATGGTTCTACCTACATAATAGGCATCACAAGCATCACATTTTAATTTAAAAATACCACTTTTGTCAAGTATGTTCATCCTATCTTTCGTGTTTATTAAAAAGGAACCTAAAGTATTGTGTGACTTGAAGGAAATTTTGATGTTTTTAATTGTAGAAGTAAAAAGTTTAGAGATTTTATTGGACATGTTGCTAATATAAGTAAAGGAGAAATATCTAATGTTTTTTGAAGCATTGGGTTGAAGGAAACATTGTCATAAATATGCAAGATTTTCTGCAATTTTGAGTTTAACTCTATTTTAGAAGTTTATAGATAATGTTGAGATCATAGCCATTATCGAAAGATGTTTGCTTAAGAGTATTAAGTTCTAAATTGAAGTTATCATTAGAAAGTGGAAAGTTGAGCAACTTATTAATTGTTGGGTTGTAAAACAGCTATTTTATGTTGGGTTAGATGATTAGATGTTTCATGTATAACAGGATCTGTTTGAGTAGGTTTTCTGTGAATATTGTACTCTAGAAAATCTTTATTACGATATATAGTCATATCCAAGAAGTTCAAGTAATTGTTCGATTCTGGTTCCAGTGTAAAAGAGATGTTAGGATGGAGGTTACAAGATCATCCAGAATCTGTAAAGCATCATCTTGGCTTTCCTATATCAGAGCTATACAATCATCTTAACCAAAAACTATTTTGTTGTTGTTGTTAAAAAATTATATATTTTTTAATTAAATTGGAAGAAGTCCTGCTGAAGACAAAATTTAAGCATAGTTAAGATAGCATCTTTGTCTTTTGCTGGTATGTTGCAATTGCATAGAAAGTTGTCTACTAAAGGTAATGTTTCATCTCTTGATACAGAAGTAAACAAATTGGAAACATCAAAAGAGACTAAATAAAAACTCTCTTCTATTTTAATGTTATTTAAACTATCTATAAGGTCTAAAAAATTTGTAATGGAGAACTTAGGTTTAAAATTAGTGATTGACTGAATTATGTTGTAAATAAACTCTAATAATATAGAAACTGGAGTGTTACAAAAACTTACAACAGACCTTATGAAACAATAGTGTTTATGAATTTTAGGAAGTCCATATAACCTAGGTGTTAGGTTAGGTTAGGTTAGGTATTATAGGATTAGAGACAGTTAACTTTGTGTTGTTATATTTAGTAATAGTATCATTAAACAATTTAACCATTGCTTTTGTTTTATAAATAAAGGTGTTAGTGGATTTTTTTCCAAAACTACAAAACTGTTATCTGAAAGGAAAGATTCCACTTTCTCTATGTACTGAATTTGTTCTAAAATTACAACACAATTTTCCTTATCAGCCTTACTGAATCCTAGAGAATCTCTATCGACTTTTCGTTTAATTGATTTTAGCAAATCCTTTTGTTTTTTAAAAGAGTGATTTCAGATGCCCCTAAAGATGCCCTATGAAGCGAAAGTACTTGGCAGGATTTAATTAATAAACTTTGTTCGATATCTGCCTTTTCAATTGATCAAAGTTTATTTATTCGAGCATTTAACCTTATATAAAAAAATTGTTTGTAAAAAAGAAATAAAATAATAAGGAAATGTCAAATTTGTGTAAATGTTATGATTTTTGGTATTCTTTAAGGCATATTTCAGTTGCAGTCTTGTTATAAGGACAATAATTATTATAAAATAATTATTAAAACAATACTTCTTGTTGTCAGTAAAGAAATATTAGGTGAAATAAAACTTTTTTTTTGTTTCAGGTTTGGTTTCAAAATCGCCGAGCAAAGTGGAGGCGACAAGAAAAAATGGAAGCGGCTCGATTAGGACTAAGTGAATATCATGCAGCCACACTATCGCGAGCTGGCTCTAGTCTTACTTTACCAATGGATCCCTGGTTATCGCCACCGCTGCTTTCGGCTCTTCCAGGTTTCCTTAGTCACCCGCAAACTGGTTACCCAAGTTATCTTACCTCTCCCATCGCCACAGACCCTGGAAGACCTCCGATGGCGCACTCTCATTCTCATTCGCCAAACAACACACCACCCGACCTTAGAACAACATCTATAGCAGCTCTACGTCTCAAAGCAAAAGAGCACGTTGAAAATATCACTAAAGGTTTACAAATGGTTTAAGTGAGTGTGTAGGTATTAGGCGTATATATTTTATGGACCGAAGTAGTTTCAATACAACCGAATTTTTAGTTCAGACTTATTAAAGGATGATATGTAAAGTTGTAGAAGTGACGTATTACAATTTCTTATAGAATGAATGTCAAAACGTTAAGATTATTTTACATTCTTTAAAAATATGACGGTTGACGTGTTCCTCTAATTACTTCTTTAAATCGAAATATATATGTAATAATAGATTTCCTTATCAGTTCAATAACAGAGTGTAAAAAGAGAAGTCAAAATACGCTGAACAAAATATTAGTAAAATTGGTAGTAACAATGTAAGATAAAAATACTTTTTTACAAGTTATTCTTCTTTTAGCTCAGGTCAGACCCGTCTGGTCCCTGGAACTTTGTTGTGAAAACTTTGTATAAAACCCTGCCTTTCGCTATTTTCCAGAGAAAGTGCTTTAAATAAAAGCCAGTAATTTTTCTATGTAGCGTTTAACAATTTCTCTTGGCAATAGCGGTTGGATTAATAAAAGATACACTTTCCAATTTTAGTGTCCAGTGTACACATAATTAGCAATTACCAACTAATATTTAGTCACCCACACATCTTCTTCTTCTTTTTCTTTAGCCTTAAGTAATCAAACTTTTGGCATACGCCACCCCCAAATCAATCCAGTGTCTTTTATTTTGCGCCACTTGCTTCCATTTGTGTCCTCCGATCTTCTTAATGTCCTCAGCCCATCTCATTTGTGGTCTTCTTCTGTTCCTCTTTCCTGACCATGGTCTCCATTATTATATTTCGTGTTTCCATGTCTTATCCTTCAGTCGGGCATTATGTCCTGCGAAGCTCCATTTTAATTTGGCAGCATGTTCTTCTATATCTTTTACTTTTGTTTTGCTGCTAATCCATTGGTTTGTTTTTTGTCTATAAGTCTCACCCGGAGCATTGATCTTTCTATCGCTCTTTGTGCTTTTACTATTTTATCCATATTAGACTGAGTGTCCACGTCTGTAAACCATACGTGAGTATAGGGAGAATACACTGATCGTAAATTCTGGTTTTCAAATATTGTTCTATTTTAGTGTTTTTCAAGATCCAACTCAGTTTTTCAAATCCTACTAACGGTAACCTTATTCTTCTGGTAATATCAGCAGTTTGATTTTCTTTGTTAACTTTCATTATCTATCCCAGGTAGATGTATTCGCTTACTGTTTCAAAATTTATGTCATTCAACATTATTTCTCTAATGTTCGGTGTATTTGTCATTAATTTTGTTTTTTCAAGTTCATCTTAAGACCTACTTTTTCCGAAGCTTGTAATAGTTGCGTCATCATGGTCTGTAGTTCTTCGAAACTTGTAGCAAATATAACCATGTCATCAGCGTATCTTAAATGACTCAGTTTTCTTCCATTAACATGTATTCCTTTATCTGCCCAGTCAATGTCTTTGAACACGTCTTCCAGTCCAAGTGTGAATAGGTTTGGTAAGATAACATCTTCCTGGCGAACTACTGTGTTGATTGGTATAGCTTTGGTTTTCGCATCTATTTGTATTTTCATTGTAGCTTTTTTTTAAATATTGTGTATGAGCATTCTGTATCGAGAGTCTATCCTGCAGTTGTTCATAGCTCTCTCTATTGCCCAAAGTTGTATGGAGTCGAATGCCTTTTCATAATCAACGCAGCCAATGTATAGGTTCAAGTGCTATTTATTGGCTTTCTTTATTAGAGTTCTGACTGTAAGAAGATGATCCTTTGTGCGGTAACCCTTTCGGAATCCTGCCTATTCTACCAATTGATAGCTATCGAGCTTCGATGTTACCCACACATATCGATGTTCATTTAATTGATCCTGTACCATTTCTTCCCTCTTAGTTGGTTTTTTCTTCAGTTTCGTACATGTAATTTATGGTAGCAGACTTTGGTGCATAAGTATTCCTAGTCTGTGTAAATGTTCTTTAATTCAACTTCCTAAAACTAGCACGATAGTGTTAATAATAATTTACTATAATCATCCAGAGTCGTACAGATCGGAGCCTCTGTTGGGTAGTTTTTTAGTCCACCAGGTTTCAGTTTTGTTGATTTTGTTCATTTTGGTCCTATGAGATCGTGATAAATAGGGAACTGTGCGGAGCGTTTGTCATAGTCCTTTTTCGACACCCTACTAATGTGCTTCTTTGGACACAGTACACCATTTTACCGCACATGTTGCTACTCTCTTGTTCCCTCACACCAGGTTATTTAAGTCCCATCACGAAGTCAATGAGGATCGGAACAATGGTGTTTTGATAATTTACTTTTACTATGTATTTAAATTTCTAATTGGTACCTTTTCTTTGATTCTTTGGTCCAGATCTAAAATTTTGTCTTTTCTTGCATTTCTTAAAGTAGAGACATATAAAATACATCAAGGTATCGGTTTCGATAGAATTTTTTAAAAATATAGTAAAAACTTTTAATATTTATGAACATTAACGTTTTTATTATCAGTTTTTATAAAAATTATAGTAATCGTTTTTTTAAACATACTAAATAATTTGTACCTTTATCAATTTTACCAATATATTTGTATATATTTTGACACCTTATTTATCTGTAACAGTAACTTGTAAAACACTTTATAATACTTTTATTTGATCCCTTTTATAATTTATAAAGATATCTGAACAAAATATTTCGTTGCCTGTACATATATTTGTATATTATAAGATACTTAAGATATTGTTGTTGGACTTTTGTGATGAGTGTTAATGTTATCACTTGTAGTAGATATAATTTTTAAAGAAACGTTTAAAACTTAATTTCAAGAGCAATTTAGAAACGAAAATATCAGGTTTGTTTAAGAATGGGAAAGCAGAAACATAATATGTATTCTCATATATGTACATTCCATCAGTCAGAAGTTTTTTCTTTTTCGATTTATGTCCATATTACAGTGGTGGGTGCTTTATCACCCGGCTTTTTAACGTAAGAGATAGAAAACATAGTTACCTTGTAAAATAAAAAGAGATGAAACTCGTAAAGGTGGGAAATAATCGATAGAAACCTATAATTTACATTACATTACATTACCACCGTCGATAGTCTCACACCTTTAGACGTTATTATAGTATTAGAAGGGTTTAAAGTCGCTTTAAAACCCGGAAAAATAGCGGAAAGGATAGAAGATGGATTTTGTGAGAAAGAATGAGATAAAGCTAGTTCTTAGACGTGGCTATTTGACTTCAGTCATAATTATACGGATGACCGCGAAAATATTTTATTCTAATAATTTCTGATGTAAGAATAAATGATTGAATAAATTAAGAATTAAAGTAAAAAACATTAATAAGTAGCGATTTTAAATTATAAATCTTTAAGTTTATTTAATAATCAAAATAACTCAACTGAAATATTTGACTAAACTAAAGGTAGGTATGTTCTGTCCGAAAACATTTATTGTATGTGGAGTTGGTGTAATTATTAGACACGTGGTCTATTTACAAGAAGATTGGGGTTCAATTCCCACCAAGGATAGAATTTTTGTTTTACTCAATCAAAAAATAATAGGAAATATTATACATATTAGGTAACAAGTTTTCGAAAAATTCATTATTTACAATTTATTCTTATTCCAATGTTATAAAACGAAAATACAAAATAATTCAAATTCAAAAATATATTTATGTGTAACTTTAAACACTTCTAATACTATAGTGTATTTTTATGTATGAGAGAGTAATAAAACAATAAATTATGTATGCAAATCCCTAAACTGTTAATACGGGTGACTCAATGAAAAACAGATAGTTGTCAACAAGTTTATAGAAGTATATAGGAAAACAATTTTAAATTGAGTATGACCACCAGGTATAAAGGTTGGAGCAGAATAGAATACAATAGTTGTGAGGGTTAATAATCCCTAAATAAGGTTGCCAGTGTCGGAGTGATGGACAGGTACTAATGAATTTGCAAGAAATGTAAGATGTTTATTTTATTGGTTATATATAACCAATAAAAGTTTAATAAGTACCTACCTATTTGCAAAATAAAGTTTAATTCTTTAGATAAAATAAAACGTTTTATTTTATCTGAAATGAGTGCATTCCACGAAGTAAGGGTTTCAACAATCAAACATTTAATTCTTTAATTCCAGGAATCTATGACAGTAATTGACTAGATTACTTCTAAACTTATTCCACAGAAAATGCGATAGTGGGTTTTTCCATTTTGTAGGAAGGTCCAAGTGGCGTATTCAAAATTCTTAACAGTTCACTAAAAGTAGGTACTTCAGTTGCAAGGTGCAGTTTATTGTGTATACTAGTGTTATGGAAAATTTGGAAGTGCCGTGTAAACGCCGAAAAATTGGTCCTTTAACAGTTAATGAAAAAACATTAATATTTAATTGTTTTAAATCATTTACAGACAAACGTTTATGTGAAAGTGTTGATGAGACCGTTGAGTGAGTTAGCAGTACACTTGGTGTTGGGAAATCTACGTTTTACAGAGTTATTAAAGAAGAGAAATGTGGTAGTTTTTAAATGCCACGTAATGCTCCAGGGAAACCAAAATTTCAAATAGAATATCATTTTAAAGAAGGACTTCGACGGAAAGTGCATGAATTCTTCTTTAGACAAGAATTTCCAACATTGGATAAAGTTCTTGTCTCAGTTCGAGATGATAAGGATTACCCAGAAATGAGTCGAAGTACGTTATGGAACTTTTAAAAGAAATAGGCTTCTGCTGGAAAAAGAATCCCAGAAAGTCTATTTTATTAGAAAGAAGCGATATTGTCATATGGAGAAGACATTTTCTAAGAACCATAAAGGAAATGAGAAACCAAAAAAGAAAAATATTTTATCTTGATGAAACATGGATCAACGAGGGTCATACACCGAATAAATTTTGGCAGGATGAAACTGTTATAAGTCAAAGGCACGCTTTTGTAAATAACTTATTTACTGGTTTAAACCCACCATCAGGAAATGGACGCAGGCTGATAATAGTACACATTGGCAGTTCAGACGGTTT